TCTCCCCTCCTCCCCCCCCCCCCCCAATATCAACTTTTATTATCCAGTGAAATTTTAACAGTATTGGGATGCACATTAATTTAAGTTTCTCTTTATGACCATTAGGTCAGTTAAAGACAAACAACTCCACTGAAGCTGTCCAAGATTCTGACGATGAAGGAGTTGACACAAGCGGTCAAGATGGCAGTCCAGACACTACATCTGACTGGACTGAGTCCACTCCTGCTGCACAGAAGCCACAGCCAATGTCCCAGTGTGGTGGCGTTGGTGACAGTCGGCCACAATTAATGGTCAAGAATGTGTCGCTCTCTAAGAACATCGGTCGTGGTTGCTCAGTGGTTATTGAGAAGATGTCTACAGCCATGCAGGGAGACGGTAGGGGTAAGCAGGGTGATCCCAGTGTGCCCCACAAAACACAATTGCCATCTGCCTCAGCTAGCGCAATGATGTCACAGCCAAATCTTCCTGCCAGCCGGAGCCAGCCATTGCCGTCAACGTCACCAGTGTCCCCTGTTAAAGTAATCAGCAAAGATTCCAAAGTGGTGTGGCGCTATTGTGCAAAGACTGCACAAATGATGGGCAAGGTGGACAGTCCAAGGTTGACCACCTTTGTTGCAGAAGGGACCCACGGGTTGCACAGTCCTCAGTATATCGTCCAGAATAACACCACAGCAGTCCAGTCACTGAGGAAAGCCTTTGCCAGTCTGCCCGGGGGCCTGATGTTGGGGGTGACAGCCCCTGAGCATGGCCTCAGTGTTATTACCAGGGATTCTGTAAAGATGTTCACCCAGTTTGGGCCCCTGGAGGGAGTTCCTGTTGCAGATCACTTGATTCTGCCCAAAACTGATCTGAGGCATGTCTGGATAATAGAAGACAGAAAAACAAAAATGGATCCCCATGATCGCCATTTCATCAGTACCTCATCTGAAGATGAAAGCAACTGGTGCAGATATTTACGCTACAATGAAATCAACCCCAATCTCGAAGCAGTTGTGCAAGATGGGAGACTGTACTTCGTATCAACACGCGATATAGAACCATTAGAGGAGCTCACTTTTTTCCAGAATATCCCACTTCCGAAAGAGGACTCCCCAGCTGATTCTGTTCAGTACACCGGTGACAGTTCTGGGCACATTGTTTGTGTGGGTTGTGATGGCAACAAGGCACTGTATCCAGCCAATCAGTACTGGCCTTACTTGAAGCATGTCTCAGTATTTCACCCAGTGACATTAGCCTATAAGAGGAGGTTTTGCACTCGGTGTGGGGCTGTGATGAGGAGTGCTGATGAATTCAAAAGACATCAGAAATCTCACTCTAGGTGACTTCATTTATCCTGAAAGGAGATAACTTTAATATGTTTTTAATGTTTATCAGTTGTACAGAGCACAAGACTAAGTGTGTTTTATGTCAGGAGGTTTACTGCTTTAAAAGTAACATTCTAATAAGACGTTGATATAAACAATGAGTTGAAAAAAGGTTTTACGACAAGAGCAAAAGAAAGATGAGAAAAACAAAATCAGAAAAAAAGAACAAACTGAAAACATTGCAGATGAAAAATTTTGATAATAGCTGCAATGAACGTGAAATGCCAAGTACAAAGTTATTATTATTATTATCATTTGTTTATTTATTTATATTTTTGCTCATCAAAATTTAAGCTATTGATAGGGATTTGTAGGATTTACTTAATATACTTAAAATAAATTGGTCATTTTCCACAAAGCACTGCTTTGTTAGTAATACTCTTTATAGATTCTCCATGTTATAGTATTGATAGCCCCCTCAGTGCATTTCTATCACGTCTCAGGTGTGGCACAAAACGAGAGGATAGGACAAAATTCATCTCACGCTATGTCATCTTGTTCGCTGCTTTAAAATAAAAATGAAGAACACTCCAATAATAAAGCCATCTGCCGAAGAAAAATATTTTTTCAGCAAGGAATGGCTTTTTTTCAGGATCAGGAGACCCACACTCAATTAAAATTTAGTCACTTCTTTCTTTCCCCTATACGGTAATTACTCAATCTTTTCAATGGGTGACATTTTGATTTTTACAGATACACTTTTTTACGTCGTGATTTCTTAAAATGAAAGCTTTCCTATTGAGTGGTAGGAGTAAAATTAAAAAAGGCTACTATATGGTTCTATTCAATGGAAGAGTGCCACAAATGCAATAAAGAAATATGTTTTTTTGTGATTATAAAATTGTGTATCTGAAAGTTAAATAATTTTTGTCCATGGAAAAGACCGTAACCATTTCGATATTTTATCAAAATCTGTGAAAAAGGCACAATTGGCAGATATGTTTGTGTGTGTGTGTGTGTGGGGGGGGGGGGGGGTGCATAGCAGTGTTTTGAACATCACTACTGGTCATTGCTGTACATATTGTCCCCCATTATTTCCGCAATCTGCACCTCTTATTTAGATAATTGTGACTAAATACTGGTAAATCGCCACATTTTGTGTCAACCTGGTAGTGACACATTTGGGGGGAAGTCGGTGCATTTGCACAACCATTACCAACGAAAGCAAAAAAATGCGACTTTCGCGCCTGCAGCCAAGGACTGGACAGCCAACCTTTGCTGCATTTTAAGAGTGGCCCAAGGCTAATACTGTAAACGGCAGATTATTCGTAGAGTTTTTTTTTTTTTTTTTTTTTTTTTTGACATATCCAATAATCTCCGTACGTACGGGCTTATAAACGGGATGTGTACTAACTCAAAATTTCACACGAAGGACTCCCGGGGCACGTGAGATTCTACGCAAAATCTCGACACAAACAGGCTGTAAACAGGTTGTTACCGATGTTTAACATAATAGCACTAACATAATAAATTTTCAGTACCGCCAACCTTTGCCTACCTAACTGTATGGGCCCGCAATAAAATAAAGCCTTTTGGATAATTGGACGTGTAGAAGAGCCCAAACATGACGCGAGCTTGTCGGTATTTAATGCTAGTGATAGTGACGATGCACTTACTGTTAGCTGGTGTATTAATGACATGGCTACTGAAACCATGTAACCAACGTCCATTTAACTACTCAGGTAAGTAAAAAGGATGAAGTTGAAAATTTTCTGTTTATTTTACTTGTTTCTAAAATGTGTTGTGTTGGTGGATTTTTTAGCTTTGGTTTTGTTGCTGTTGCAGACAGGTTGGTAAAGGGCTTCCTTCTCGGAAATGGAGTCGAATTAATGTGGTAGACTTGCAATATCTTTCACATCATAAAAAGGCAGGGTACTTACGAAATGCTTCTATTATTTTCCTGTTGCATATTGTAGCGGAAACCGCCGAACAAATTGACCTTCGAGTCTTTCACATTCTGTTTTATAAATGAAATCCTATCTTTATCAGTGGGGTCATTTTAAATACAGAGAGACATACTGGACGAGAAAAAGTATTTTATTGACTCAGAGATATCTGATGAAATCCAATAAAACTTTGTCTTATTCTTCTCCATGACACTGTTTCTGTGAGAGGGGATTTAGAATTCACCATTTTTATATATTTTCTGCATCCGTGCATCCAAGTGCCATTTGCCACAACGCGCAGTAGTAAAATGGATCTGAATTTCACTAATCTGTGGTGAATTATTTGTAATTTATCAATATTTTAAGTTCCACGAGCCAATTAGACCCTTGTTGATTACCGATCTGACCCGTTGATCTGACTTGACCTCACTCGTTTCGAAGCGCGTGGCACTTGTGGGCACGCACATGAGCACGTAAATGAGCATCATGAATCGCGTTATAGGGGGGCCTATTGACAGAAAAAATAGGCCCACCGATGTGTTGAGACATTCCCTGATATTCCCATGAAAAGACTTTTAAAAAAGATCATCAGTTACAACACAAGGAATCTCATACTTGTATTTTCAGCAGGGAACAGAGATGGGGAGTTGCACGAGCTTACCAGAGATCGGGTAAGAAATACAACACCATTTGTTCCAAGGGAGTTGTCTCTGAAGTGATATACTTTCAGTCTATAAACCTCTCTTAATATAATGACCCACTAATCTTTTTCGGCTGTGGGCCGTAATGCAAATTTAAAAAAAAAAAAAACAAGTAACTGCTTTTGTTTAATTCCCCAAATAACCCGGAGCAAGTAAATTGTTGCAATTTTATTGCAGTGGGAGCAATTATTTTTGCCGCAGGAGAAATGTAGACAACGGTATAATTGTTGTTTCATATGCACAATCAAATGATGACACAATATTACATATCGTATGTATGTTTTCCTTTTCTAAAACAAGGTATAATGAAGACGTTACTTAAAGAACGCCACAAAGCCGCTCTTTGTGCTAATCCTCTCTTCTGTACGATACCACCTTGAACGATTCAGAACCACTTGATAACGTACATATAGTTCAGTCCGGCTTAGTATGAATTTATCTGTTACTTCGTTTACAGCATTTTTCTTGGGCTCAAGTCCCTCTTACCTGGAGAAGAAAGATGGCGGACAGAAAACGTCAAATAGCAGATACGTGTGCCTTAAAGCACGGCCCAAACTATCAGCGGAACCCCAATCACGCTTATTCTAACGAAACAAACTTTTTCGTTGATGAAATACATGGACTTATTTACTGCGGAATTCCTAAAGTTGGCATTACCAACTTTAAAAGACTGTTATACGGACTTGTTGGGGCTGTCAATATTTCGGCGTATAGGGGAATCCCCTTCGTTGCCGTCCACAATTTTTATCATAAAAGATACGTACTACGACTTAAAGATTTCTCTCCCTTTGGCATCGACTTAAGGTTGAGGAATTATCTTAAGGTTCTCGTTGTAAGACATCCTCTGGAGAGACTGGTGTCAGCCTTCAGAGACAAATTTGATTCAGAAGGAAGAGATTTCTACGGGGAGCTTGCCGCCTTTATCGCTAAAAAGTTCGAGCTGAATCCATCAAAAAAGACCTTAAAAACTGGTGCCGGTCTTTCATTTAGAGCGTTTGCAAAATACGTCGTTAATAACACAAAGAATGCTACCGGGATAAAAGACCACCACTGGATGAGTTATCAAGAAATCTGTATCCCGTGTGACGTAGACTATGACGTCATTGCGCGGTACGAAAATATAGAGGATGATGTCAATTTTATGCTCACAATGTTGGGGTTAGCTACATCATTTTCCTTTCCGGACCGAGATGGGAGAAAAGTTAACACTACAACTGAAGTGTGGGAATCCTACGTTTCAACTGTTTCGACGCCAGATCTTAAAGAACTGCGGGAAATATTTCAAACTGATGCAAAGATGTTTAACTACACACTTTGACGCCCACGACACTATAATAAAGATACTAGTACTTCGTTATAACTGTTTCCTGACCAATAATTTATAAGCTGATGGTCTAGCCTTTTAAAAATGATTGCTGCATTCGAATAGAAAACGAAGACGCCTGCCAAGTACCGGTATATGATTGCGGTGAAATACCATTGAAATATACGCAAAATGCCTAGGGCGAAAATTTCAAATGAACAATGGATGTATGCCTCCGGCAAGACATTGCACCATTTGTATAAGAAGAAATGCAATGAGTATAGGCCTATATAGCTCACCGGGAAAACTAACAGCGTGTCGACCGTTTCAGCGTGCAGACTGTCTAAACTAGGACTGGGTTCCCACAGATTTAGATTGATCCATCTGGATCGACCTAACTCCCTGGGGGTTCACGTTAAATTACTGTCAGCTTCCGGGAGCCGAGCGCGCACAAAAGTTAATTACCCCCTAACAGCTTTTAGTAGGCGGGACAATCGTTTAAGCCGGTTCAGCTGACAGCAATCAAGTGAGACTCCCCAGGGGGATACATAGATCTAAATATCTATGGGAATGGTCTCTAGGACTTTATTGCCACAGATTTAGATCGATCCATCTGGATCAACCTAACTCCCTGGGGGTTCACGCTAAATTGCTGTCAGACGAGCGCGCACGTGAGTTAATTGCCCCTTACAGCTTTTAGTAGGCGGGACAGACGTTTAAGCCGGCTATTCTCACAGCAATCTAGTGAGACTCCCCACGGGGATAGATCAATCTAAAATCTGTGGGAATGCAGTCTAGGACGCAATATTACGTCCTGGGTCTGATATGGAGGCAGCAGGTCTTACGCATGCGCATTGATAGGCTGAACTTGTACACAGGCAGAAGAGCTTTAAAGATGGGTTCAGATGACAGATTATTCGGGCGTTATCATGAGCCATTAGATTTAGACCACATACTTCGGTTAGATATTTCGAATTCCGTGCAATTCAGCCAATGAAGAAGCAGCAGCATCTGTGAAATACGTCAAAGATTTCAACAACACGAGATGCTGATTTCGCCATTAAAAAAATAATTACCATATTGCCCGCAAAGAGGCGGCAAGGGTTTTATTTTCTCTTAGTGTGAAATGTAGATCATGCGATAACGTGTGTGCGGTTATTTTCAAAGTATAGCTTCTTAATCAGTGATTCCTGGTGGTGAGTGATGAAATAGATCCAGAGATAATAGTTGAAGACGACGTAGGCGATTTAACATAAACTTTGTCTTCATCAGCAAATATCAAGTTGGAAAACAATGAAGTGTTGCGATAAAAAAATCACCCAAGGATTCAAAGGTCGGAAGGTTTAAAGTTTCGAAAGATGCCCCCCAAAATGTATGAATTTTGTTTTATCACCATCCACCACTGTTCTCTTTACCATGAAGTGATAAAATATTTTTTATGTATTTTTTAAACATTTAAAATTTGCTAT